TCACAAATATTTGTAATGACTAATAAACATTTTTACTAGCATTGTTATGTTATTAATAAATTGCTATCACAATATTATAATAATATTTCTAATTTAATTTGTTAATTCAATAATTATAAGTTGTTATTGTAATTAAAATATATTTATATATTATGTATTGTATATGCATGTGTATAAGACATATTATACGAATATCAAGATTGTAGAGTAAATAGAGTTTTAAAATTCATTGTTGCAACAATATAAACTATGATAACCATTATAACACATGTCAGTTAAACAAATTAATATTGGTATAACTTAGATGGTATAGGTTATATGTACTTTTACTCAGAAAACGTTAAAAAAAAACATCATCGATGCTTACATGTTTTAGATTAGGTGGGATCAAGAAATGTATTAGTCTTACATTGCTGTGTTAGTTTTTAGTTTACCTAAGCATATTCAAAAAGTACCAAAAAATTGTAACAAGATCTTACAGATTTGAAATTGTCACAAATTACTTATGCAAATACATATACCTAATTGACAGGGTTCGAAGTACTGGACCCAACCCATTAAAACCCACCGGGTTTTAATGGGTTGGGCCCAGCAAAAAAACCCAGGAAAAAACCCAGAAAAAAAACCCAGTAAAAAAAACCAACAAACCAAAAAATAAAAACTTCAAACTGCATATTTATTTTTTATTACTTTTTAGTAACAATACAAATGTAAGCAAAAACATTAAATATTATAATTTTACATTTCTTAATTCATTTTACTTCGACAGTCAAGAGTGACCAACCGTAGAATGAAGATGGGAATATATTATATAATAATACATTATTATATTATTATAATATTTACACTTGTCAAAACCACGATTAAAGATATACGATTATGTATATCTTGTTCAAAACAATTTAAAATGGTACATTTATGTTTTATAGGTTAGGTTTGTAGGGAACTTCCCTAATAAAAAAGTGTCAGGAAACAGCATTTATTTGAACATTTTTAAAACCCATTAAAACCCATTTAAACCCATTAAAACCCATTTAAACCCATTTAAACCCAACCGGGTTGGGTTTTTTAAAAAAACCCGTGGGTTTTTTAAACCCTGCTAATTGATGCAACACTATAGTTTCGAAAAATATCTAGCCTAAGTTCCATTTCCATTCAGTTAGGTACTATTTATTTCAAGTGTTTGTTATTGATTGTAAATACATTAGTACATGAGTGCCAAGTTTATTGACATTTCTGAATAATCTGATTACTGTTTATATGAATGTTATATATTTGACACTTATACTTGATATAGTGTATATTATATTGTATTGTAAATATTAATCAATAATTGAAAACATAAGACAGTAGTCTGTAAAAATATGGGAGATCCATGGACAATTAAAATGTAATATTATTTATTTATTTACAAATTAAAACTCAATTACAAAAAAATATAATAGTATACAAATAAATATTATGTTAACTTTAAAATATGGTATACTAAATCATAATTAATAAAAAAAAAATAGTAATAAACTTATAAGTGTTTGGATTTCAAATGTTGACAAAATTTGTGAATATCACAGAAATGTGTAAATTACTTTGTAGATAAAAATGTGTAAGTTAAATTTTAATAGCTTAGTCATGAAACGGTAATATGCACAAGATTCCTTAATAGTTGTAATTTTTATGATATATGAATTTCAAATTTTTATATAAATAACAATGATTTTAGTTAGGAAAAATATTAGGAAACTTGAAACTATTAACTATTACTTATTTTACTAAACAAAATGGTCCTTTATAAATATTTAGACTAATTTTAAACACTGAACTACTGGGTGATGATATAATATACAAGTCAATTTTACAGGCCCATGACATGATCTTTGTAATGAAATTAGAGCTATAACAAAAAGTGTATGAGATATTCTTATAATACTATTGTTACAAAGATCATTGTCCTATTAATTAACAAACAGTTCATGGAGGATATTAAATAATAATATACAAACATTAAAAAAATATTTCATCAAATTTCAATGAGTGGTGTGTTCATTATTACCTATTAAGCTGGGTCCACACTTGAGCAAAATTACATTGTTTAAAAATTTGTGCCGCAAGCGATCCATAGGCCTCACACCAAATCTTACGTGATGCACAACTAGTGTGGACGCTGCTTTATATTAGCATTAGTTATCAAAGTGTAAAAACCATACTATTTTACAATAATATTATTTTTGAAAATATAAGTCACATTCAGTCATTCAAAAATCAACAATTGTTTTTCTCCATATCATAAATAATTAACTCCACAAAAATTAAAAATATCTAATTTTTTGAAAAAAATCTAAAAAACATTTTAAGTGTGTAAGATTTTTTTTTAGAACTTGTAAAAGGGAAGCTATTAGTCATATATTATATTTTAAAAAAACTATACTAGAATATTTACATGATATTTTGAATTAGAACTAAAGACTTTCTAACATTAACTAACATATTGTCTAAGAATATTATTCTGATTTTATATGAATATTTATGTTTTCATAAGTTAACTACTAATTAAAGATTATTTTAATTATAAATCACCAAAAAAGGGTGTAAGTTGAAATGTTTTAGTTAAAATTAAACTAAATAAAATAGTCTTAATACTTAAAATATAGCAATCTGTTAAATATAAATTTACATTTATATTTATTTAGTCAATTGACAATTTAAACTCTTGTTTATGTTTATATGTTATCCAAATATAATAATATAAGCAATCTGTTTCATAACTGTTGCATAGGGTATGTTAAGTATACCTATTTGCATACACTGGGTACTGGTGGCAGAACCCTTTTATAAGAACGCGAATGATCAAAGTCCCAAATAACACTTTTTAGGAAAATAAAATAACAAAAATATGACGGTACAATTCATGTTTACAACTAAATTATCTGACAAGAATTAGGAATTTATATCGTTTTCAATAAACATGTCTTTATAAAAATGTTTTATTTTTCAACATAAAAAAAACATATTGAAAATAATTTTTAATAAGAAACAGTAATAGTAAATATTTTTCTTAGGCAAATTGTAAGAATATTTGTTGAAGGGATTTTATAGTTTTGAAGCTACCCTGCAACCAAAGTCTGTGCATGCTTTGATTTATTGTTCTTTTTTGTAACTATATACTGTTTTGTATTTACTTTTGTAAATTTTTCAGCTCGCCTTAAATGTGTTTGAAAAATAAATAGAAAAAAACTTAACATTGTATTCTCAGAACAATTATGATATTGCAGTTAAAAAATTAAACCAACAATACATACATTTATTCCAGAATATTATAGTAATTTAGTTTAAATATTATTTATAGTTAGGAGCACATATATAGCTGACCATATAACGCGCCAAGTGGGGAATTTTCAATATTGGTTATGTAAGACCTGTATATGTCAAAACTCCCTTGACTGTACATCTGTACCTAAACAAACTTGAATGACATATTAAGGGACTTTTAATCACATGAAAATGGAATTGTGTATGTATAATTTGTACTTTTATCACTGATGAGTATGTGGTATCTGGCAGCACATCGGTAAAGTGTTGAGTACCACTATAGACTATGATATGATTTTTCTTGTGCCTGACAACAAGATTATTTATCATCAACTAATTCAATATACTAGGCTGTATGCTGGTAAATTATAAATAATCAAATTTATTTTAGTATTTAAACAAATATTTTTTTTAACCCATACAAAGAAGAAAAATCTAATTTAATAAACTACGCATGCATTTATCTAGTTTTATGAACTAGATTACTTTTATGCTAAAAAAAGTCTGGCAAGTGGGTGTTGCTCTGCTGTTCTATAGGTTACAAGTGGGTCACTGTAATGGATTGTGTTAAATTTGAATTCAATGATATAATATTATTGTATAAGAAAAACGATTCTGAGCAAAGACGGTCAATCATCCTATGATTTTACTAAGTATATTTGATGATATTATTGTGAATAAAGTAATTTATTAACTATAACCTCTTTATGTGGAAACTTGTTTAAAATTTTCAAACCTTAGCTATAAAGTTGAACATTTTATACATTTTTAAATTTGAGAAATTATGTCAAAATTCGAACTTTAAATGCAAAAAAACTAAAAATGTCCTTCAACGGTTCAAAACAAATCAAAATATTTTAAAAATTGTATCGTGTGTAGAAAATGAAAATATAAACAACCAGTGAATATTTCATGTGTCTACAAATCATTTGAGAAAAATCTTGTTTTCCTTAATTTTTTTTGATTTTGTTTTCCACTGCGCTTTTAAAAACTGTTGGGAATTTAAAATTTTGACTGTCTTAATTCACCAACCAGATTCACTTTCCCATCGAACAAGATACTGTTGAAGAAAATAAAAGCAGTTTCACCGCCTAAAAAAGTAATGACAGAAAAAAAAATTATAAAAAGAAAAAACACTTTATTGTAAAAATCACTATATTCATCGCTTCGCTCAAAATCTAAAATTATAATGTACCTAATAAAAATGCATTTGATATTTTATAGTGGCATAGCCAGGATTTTTTTTGGTGGGGGAGGGGGGGGGGCTGATCAACTTTTACACTTTTACAGATTAAATACGTACTAGCACAGATAGATAGCTGAACAGTGTTAGTACATATAGTTCATTTTTAAATATTTTAAATACAATTTAAGACTTTTTGTGCGACTATCATTGACCACTAAAATAATTTTTTTAATTTTCTTAACATTTCGGTGGGGGGCTCCACCCCCTTAAGCCCCATCCCTTGGCTACACCACTGTTATTTTAATATATTGGGTATTACAATGTTTATTTAAATTTTGAATGTTTTTGGATTTTTAGGTTTGGATGTATGTGTGTTATGTGTATACCATTATTTAAAAATGATGAATAAATATTTATACTTTTGACTTTTATATCTGTATAATTCATAAATTAATGTAATTTAAATTATTTTTATAGAAAATTTCTTATGGACTACTTATGACGTATAATGATAGAAGGTGTGTCAAGAAGAACCTTAGCAGGATCGAGTGGCACATACAACGTTCGTGCTACCGAATTGGCTGTAGATCGAGGCCGTTTAAAGTCAATCAATGCCACTGTTGTATTTCTTGATGACACTCAACATTGTTTTAAACTTGACGTGAGTAAATTATTTTGTAGGCATTTTCTATTTGAAATACTTGTAGGAGTAATATTAATTATGCTTTTATTTATATAATTAAAATTAAATATTTAGAAACGAGCTAAAGGTGAAGCATTACTAGAAGCAGTATTTCAACACTTGGAATTAATTGAAAAAGATTATTTTGGCTTACAATTTACCGAAAATGGGGTAATTCCATCTGTAACAAATACAGATATTTTGGTACGTTTAATATAATTATTACTATTGAGTAACCTAAGACTTTGAATAACATTTTATTTTTTAATACCTTTAGAGATGGTTGAATCCAAAAAAAAGTATCAAAAAACAAATGAGAGGTAATTTATTATTATTATTAAGCAATTTTTTTTATTCTTGTTGAAGACAATTAGCATTAGTTATTGTAGAATTTAAACAGTTGTACAAAAACAACATTTATTATATAATATTATATATTTATAATAGTTCTTAATATCAAAATTATTAAATAAATAACTACATTAATTTTTAATTTTAATGTTTACATAAAATTACTAATATCATTTTTAATTATTATTTATTATATTAATTGATGATTTCAGGAGGATTTTTTTATTTTTGTGTAAAATTTTATGTGTCTGATCCAAGTAAACTTCAAGAAGAATATACGCGTTATCATTTGTATTTACAATTACGAAAAGATATTTTACATGGAAAACTTTTTGTGTCTCCAAGTACTGCTTGTCTCCTTGCCAGTTACACTGTTCAATGTAATTTAAAATTGTTAAAATGAAATAGTTTATAAAATATAAATTAAATATAAATTCATATTTTAGCTGAACTTGGAGATTACCACCCTGAAGAACATAAGCCTGGATATATATCTGGTATGGTTCTTATACCTGGCCAAACAGAACAATTGGAAAATCAAATTTCTGAATTGCATAAATTACACAAGTAAATTATACATAAATACCTTAAAATAAATATATCCATGTATACAATATTTTTTAATTATTAGGGGTCAATCTCCCGCTGATGCTGAATTTAATTTCTTGGACCATGGAAAGAGATTAGATATGTATGGTGTTGATTTACATAAAGCAAAAGTGGGAATTTTTTATAATAAACATTTATATTCATACCTAATATATAAAATTATAAATTGTTATGTTTTGTTAAATATTAGGATTCTGCTGATAAAGAATTAGATATTGGAGTTACATGTAATGGTTTAGTTGTATTTCAAAATAATATTCGTATAAATACATTATCATGGGCAAAAATAGTAAAAATATCATTTAAGCGAAGACATTTTTTTGTTCAACTACGGAGAGAAATGGTAAAAAAAACATGCATTTAATGTTTCACATTAATATTATGGTTATTTTATGTTTGAGAGTTTAAAAGTTCAATCATTTACAGTCTGAAAATTATGATACAGTATTGGGCTTTAATATGATGACATATCGTTCATCTAAACATTTATGGAAATCTTGTGTTGAACATCATTCATTTTTCCGGCTAAACCAACCCATTTGCCCATCAAATAATCGAGGATTTAGACGATTGTTGCCAGGACCATTTCTTCTTGGTTCACGATTTTCATATTCTGGACGAACTGAAATACAAACAATAGAAGAGAGTCGTATGTCACAACCACGACCTCACCGAACATTTCTTAGGTAATTTTGTTTTATATTTAATCATTTAAACAATAATAATTTATATATGACTTGTAAAAAAAACAACTGTTATGAAATCTTATTTTACTATTATTTAGTACTATTTTGTTCTGAAATTATTATAAAAATAATAACTATATATTATTATACCTTACTTTTTTTAGAAAAAATCTTGAATTTTAAAATTACTTAGTTTCATGAACTATATTGTTTGTATTTAGATTCAAAAGTAAATACTGTTCGAAACAACCAGTAAACAACAATACGGAGAGTAAGAGTTCAAAATCAATTCTCAAATCATCTGCTAAAGGATCACATGATAATAAAGTAAAGTCAGTTGATAAAGAACCCAGACCTGCTTGGGGCCCTACTTCATCACTTGTATCAGATGAGTAAGTGAAACACAACTTTAATGGAATGGCGGCACAGCGTCCCAGATATCAAATTATATACGGATAATACCTTTAAACATTAGAGTTTAAAAGGAATTTTCTGAAGCCACTTTTTAAGAGATGAAATATTTTGTTTAAAGAAATCATTTTGTGAAGCAGTTAAAATGCGGATTTAAATTTTTTTTTGTCAATAAATCAAAATAATTAAATTAAAAATATCTTTAATTATAACATAACTTTTCAATATTTCTAAATTTAGATGCTTTACAAAATGATACACTCTTTCTAAAAAAAAAAAAAATGAGGTTTTTCCATTTTCCATTTATAATTTGATCATTGAGGAGCTGTTTGTTTGTTTATAAAATAAAAATAAATGATACCATTAATTTTATTTTTCACATTTTATTTATGTTTTTTCAGCGAAGGTGGATTTATATCTTCGGCTGTCCGTCCAAGTAGCAGTAGTAGTGGAACCGGATTAGCAGCAACTGGCCGAAATTATGTTGATGATGACATGTCTAGTAGTATTTATGATATTCCAGCATATGATACGGAATCTTCTTTGGTAATAATTTATAATTATATAATTATATGTTATAGAGCCTAATAATCTAAATTAATAAATAAACTTAAGCTGTGATAAATTACATTGGTTATTTCAATAATCAATTTAATACATTTGTACTGGAAAACTTGTTCTATTTAAACTATATAAATTTGTTAACTTATATTCATTAACTAATATCAATTTGTCTAATTTTAGTTAAATAGACCTTAATTATTTACACATATTTTATTTCCGAATAGCCATACTACATATCATCTCATGCACATTTTATAGTAATCCTGCTGCTTGATTATAATAACATGCTCCAAACTAAAACTTCATATAAATAAATAAAATTAAAAAATCATAAATTGTTTTACAGGGTTGTGAAAATAATGTTGTTTGCATTCATATGAATGCTGATGAGGAAGGGCGATTTGGATTTAATGTAAGAGGTGGCTCAGATTTAGGATTACCTATTGTTGTGTCCAGAGTTGTTCCTAACACAGCAGCTTTTCGATCACAACCTAAACTATGTGAAGGTGATCAGGTTAGTACATTTTACTATATTGTTTACTCAATATATAAATAGAATTTTTCAAGGTAATTTATAATTTATATTAATTATATCAAATCATTTAGGTTTTAATGATAAATGGACAAGAAGTCAGTGAGATGGTCCATGATGATGTTGTAAATTTAATTAGAGCAGCTAGAGATGTAGAACACGATGGGAAATTAGTTTTAACAGTACAACAAAAAGGTATATATATCATACAGAACTATGTCATTAATTGGGATTAAAATTAAAATTACAAGTTTAGATAGCTAAAATAAGAATTTAATTGAAAAAATTTAAAGGTAATGTGTTGAAAATATATTTAATACCTTATGCATATTTTATATTTATCTGTATAGTTGTTGGTAACTTATAATGTTATTTTATCTATCTATCTTCTAACTATATTATAAACATGAAACTACTTTTATACTTATATAAATACTTTGAAACGGCTAATCTCTGAAATTACGGGACTGATTTTGCTCATTCTTTTTTTGTTGTGTTCGTAATTGTCAGGACAAGGTATTTATGAAAGAAAATTTTAGGCAAATCCACTGGAAGAGTAAGAAACCTGAAATGCAAAAATATAATGGTGGCGCAATCTGTCATAGTATTTTTGTTTATTTTAAGGTTGCTTCATTGGTAATTTCAGAAAACTTCTATTTTTTAAAAGATTTTTTTTATTGAACGGCTATTTAACATTCTTGATCATTTATAATATTGTTTAGAAAAAACAAATATTGATATTATGTAGAAACCATACAAAAATCAAATTTTTCATTTCAAGCAGTGCACAGTTTAGTTTAAATAATCAGTTCTGAGTTCCAAGATTTTTATTTTATACGTTTAAAAAATATGATTTAAAATAATATATATCCAAATGTGTACAAGCTGTTACAAATAATTTGTTGGGCTTTTCTACAATATTATAACTAATATTAATAATGAAATAAAAATGATCAGTTTGTCTCAAACTGTATCAATTTCAGGTGGCACTCACACTACCGATTAGTTCGGCCAAAACGTTTTCAATTCTAATAACTTAGAAAACATTTGTGCTCAAAAAGATATTACTGCCTATTGATGAAAAACATCAGATTCAGCTAGTATACATATAAAAGACAAAAAATGGCTGTCCCTGTGTCCTTTATGCATCCCTAAAACGTTCATCTGATTGCTATGAAATTTGGTACAGAGCAGAGACGGATTTACACAATTGCCGCTCCTAGGCAAATTTTTTTTTTGCCGCCCCATTAAACTTATCAACGAGAAAACGTATTTTTAAATACTTATTTAACATAAGTACTAAAAAAATAAATCATAAAGACTGATACTAAACAATAATTAATGGCGGTTATGTTAATAAACTGTTCTAATCAAGTAAATAGTATAACAATACCATATTTATTAAAATATAATACATCACCATTTTTTTGAATAAATTTGCTGTACCAATCAAATGCAATTATAATATTTTATATTGTGCTCCGCTCAATCTCTTTCTATGCATTTTTATACCGACAAAAATCAAATTTTAATGGTGAAAATATTTACCTATAACACACCGCGTAGGGAATAAAAAATCAAGTGTTTTATACTTTTATTTAATGGGCTTGTAAAAATTAATAAATCAAGAATTTGAAATTCCAAATAAGAACTAATGCATACGAATATTCATAAAAATAAAATTCAGTTTTGCAAGCCTATAGCACTAATTTATCACTATAATATTATAGTGTTTATAAAATATAGTGTTTACTTACCAGTAATTTAAGTAGTATACTAATAACCGAATATGAAGTACATCCGCCTTGAATGTTGGGTTGAAAATAATCGAATGTCTAATCAGAATAAACCTATTTTCTACTCGGCCGCCCTCTATTTCATAGTCCCGAAGAAAAATAAACAATTATTACATAATTTTATCTTTTGGATAGAAAAAGTTTTATTTTTGTACACATAATGCATAGTACGTACGAGTATATTATATAAAAATATTCACAGTGACTGGTTTATAATTAGACTATCGTTCCAATACGAATTGATCGTCACCCGTATTCGTATTAAATATATCATATCTGTATGTATTGTGCTTGTAGTGTGTGTACGCCGTGCGATCAAACGAACCACGAGTGATTATTAATAATTATTACGACTTAGCAAAAAAACAAAATAACGAAATATGTTATCTATGCTTAGTATTTAGATAATAGATCTAAGTTCCGGAAGTCGTTCGATAATTCACTTGGACGTTTGTTATGTATTATAAAATAAAGAAGAAATTATATTAACAAGAATATTATTATACTTAAATATTAAACATTTTTTTTCCATCCTTCAGAGTAATCACCGTACATTAGAAAATCAAAAATAAACCTAGAGTATTCTCAATAAAATATTGGCCTGCCGCCCTAGGCAACTGCCTACTTTGCCTGACGCTAAATCCGCCACTGGTACAGAGATAGATTAAACTAGATAGGCTACATTTTATTGGGGAAAAAATGTAAATTAGAAGTCCAACCTGGGTAGAGATTATAACAGGGGTCTTCAGTTCAAAAAACCATGGTTTTGGTTTCGGTGGACAAATTTTTTTTTATTTTTTTTTTAAATTTTTGTTTATTAATAGTTGCTATTGGTTTTAATAATAATAATAATTATTATTATTATTATTAATTACCTTGATTTTTTTCTTATATTTACTTTTTATTTTTATTCTTTATCTATACTTATGAATGTTTTTATATTAATCAGATTTTAGTACAGTTAGGTTAGGTTAATTTTGTATTAATTGATTTTATAACCTTTAATTGTACACTTATGGACACACCACGTGGGGTCCACGATTTACCCCAGGTAGATTGCCTACCTTATATACTGCTCGCTTAATGACCAGTGCAACTCACGGACAACTTCCGTCGGTAAATTAAATTAAAATATAATTTGATTTACACTTAAAAAGACATTGCTTTCACATTGTGTTACACAAAAAAGGAGTTGAACAATCACAAAAACCTAGAAATTGCAATACATTGCCGTGTCAGCTAATATTTAATATAAAATAACTACACACATTTTTTGAAAATTAAATTATAAATTAACTTTATAAAAATGTTTTTATTCTAAAACTTGGTAACCATGTCAATAAAAGCTATGATACAAAATGGGATACATAGACAAACTGTTATTATGACAGATGTGTAAGGTTATTTAAGTATAACATTTTAAAAACAATTAAAAATGTTGATTCAGTCACTAAATATTACAATGTAGTATAATATGTATTTGCATCTTTGAATAATTTAATATTAATCAACAAATTTTTTTATGTTATTACTCATTATGAACTATTTGTGTATTTTCTAAAATGTATAAAAAAAACAATCATTGTAAGTTATGTTATAATGTACAGGTGATGATGATGATGACGATGACGGTTTGAAAGAAAAAGAAGAAGAACCTTTATTTCAGTACATACCAGAATCTCCACCAAGTGTTATGTCATCTGATCCATTGATTCAATCTATACTACTGCTTGGAGATGGTTTAGCAAGTGGATCTTTACTAACACAGTTTGAACAGCTGTACAGGCATAAACCAGAAACGTCAATGGATAATGCTAGAACCACTCAAAATATACATAAAAATAGATATCGCGATATAGCTCCATGTAAGAAACATTTTTAATGTATAAACGATAAAATTAATGAAACTTATTAAGTACATATGTGTATTTGTAATGAAAAATATAATAATATATTATTTCATAATCATATTACCTAATATAGAAATAATATTTCATTTCAAATAAATACCGTTTATTAAGTAAAAATATTAAGTTCAAACTAATTATTCTTTTAATATTGTTTAGATGATATAACTCGATATATTATCAAAAATCAGGACCATGACTATATTAATGCCAACTATATAAATATGGAAATACCGGGTTCAGGAATAATTAATAGATACATAGCAACACAAGGTTTTTAAATATATACTAAATATAAGAGCTTTTGTCATTTGAATTAACACTTTGTTTTTTTAATTTTAATAGGACCACTTCAAACAACAATTAGCGATTTTTGGTGTATGGTATTAGAGTCTCGTAGCACCTTAATTGTTATGGTCACTGCTCTTGTTGAAAAAGGCCGTCAAAAATGTGCCAAATATTGGCCACCTATCAATGAAACATTAGAAGTTAACAGCAATATATCACTAAAAATGGTGTCCGAAGAAACGGATACTTCTAACATTATTGTTTACCGCCAAATAGAGTTAACTGAAATAAGCGTGAGTATTCTTAAGATGATGTCACACCTTCATTTGTTGTCCCTGTTTTAAAAGTTTATATTATCCAAGTTTAAACCTTATATTATTCTATTCTAGCTAAATGAATGAGCCACATTCTTTACAAGTTCAGCTTTGTTTTTGGATATGATCCGTACTTAATTAATTAATTTTCAAATGCATTTTTACAGACTAATGAAACTAGATCTGTTACACAACTTCAATATAGTTTATGGCCTGATCACGGTGTACCAGATGATTCAGATCGCTTGTTAAATTTAGTAGGAGCTGTTCGTAAAGAACGTGCAGGTGTCGTTGAACCTGTTGTTATACATTGTTCAGCTGGTATTGGACGTACAGGAGTGATAATTTTATTAGAGACTGCATTGTGCTTAATAGAAGCAGGCCAACCTGTTTATCCTCTTGAAATTGTCCGACAAATGCGTGATCAACGAGCTATGATGGTACAAACTTCAGTAAGTACACTTTAAATGAAATATACAATATATTTGGCTATACATTATTTATCCATTTATTGAGAGGGGGTATGTTGTGTCTATGTGTCATTTCACTCTTATTATTTCTGAAATAATTTATAAAATAAGCTATTGTAATTTTGAAATACTATATTATTTGTTATTACTAATTTACATTTTTAATTTTAGAATCAATATAAATTTGTATGCAGTTGCATACATTATGCATTTACACAGGGTATTGTGAAACCATTGCCGGAATATAGTCAACAATAAAATAATTCGTTCTTTGGTAATTACAGTGATCCCTTGAAAAATGTATTTATTTATTTATTATATTTTTATTTATACATAATATGCTTTTTTTCTTTTTTGACATTTAAACACTAGAACAATTTAATATTATATCATTATTATTTATTAATTGTGTATAATGACTTGACTGCATAATAGCATCTAAAATTGTTCTTAATAGATTTATTATTTATAATTCTTTATTGAATTAACCATTCTTTCTTTCCCTTTAATTTTTAATTTATATAAATGTTCTTTACTAACTTCATTGTATTTCCTAAATTCTATTAATTTTCATAAATGTATTATTGTACTTCAAATATGTATGTAATTTATTTGCCTTTTACGTGTTATTAAAAACTCTTTGTTTGCGATTATTAACCAATAAAAGAAAGTACTTGAAATTCAAAGATTCATGTTCTTTGTATTGATAGAAATAAAAATACTTCTGTTATTATGTTATAGTTATTAGGTGATACATTTATTTCAGAGATTCATAATATTTATAACTAAGTATAATATATTATATGATCTTAAAGTGATGTCTTAAAATATTATTATGTACACACTTAGGTTTATATTGTCACTATTTATAAAATTACACAAATTTAGTTGTCTATGTTACAATTTACAATAAATATTTAATTGTATTCCACTTAAAATACTAATAAATAAAAAAAATTACCTCAAAATTGATATTGGTCAAGTTTTAAATTATTTAAATATAACTATTAAAGAAAAAGTATAATAATATCAATTACTGTGTTTAATTAATGTGCTTTTTATTTTATACAACCGTATTAATATATTATGTACCAATTTTAATAGGTGAATACACTATTATTTAAGTTTAGTTGTTAAATACAGATTACTAACACTGAGTATAAAATGTTGTAAATATACTCACAACATTTATATTTATTATGTGGGGAAAATTGTATTATTATTTTTAACCACCACACCAACACCCTCAGAAAATTCAAGGAATACATTTTTCAGTAACAGCTTTAAAATAAATTAATAATTTGCTAGGTTTTAAGTAAACCATTCAATTTAAGTACCCCCATTCAGTTACCAATTCTAAGGCTGGGTATTAACGAGTTAAAAAGTTAAATTTAACTTAAAAAGTTAATTTAATTTAAACTTTTTAACTTAACTAGTTACTTTTGGCTTTTCATTAACTTAACTGTTAACTTACTAAATTTCTGTTTTAATTAACTTGAAATTAAAGAATTAATTTTTTATTTTAAGAAGTAAGTTAAGTTAATTTATTTTGTTTTTAATTTTATTATATTTTCTCTATTTCAGTCTATTTCGTTTTCATGTCAAAAAATATTTACCGTGAATTGTTTAAAGAAAAAAAATTATATCATTTGAATCTAACTTATATGGAAATACTGTATTAACTATTAAGTATAAACGCTGTAGTCTATAATATTTAGTTTTGGAATAGGTTGGAAAAAAATTAAGTACGCTAGCGATGTATAAACACATCCACATCTAATTAACTTAATAAAAAGTTTACAAAAAGTGTGTATTAACTTTTAACTTTTTTTTATTGGTGCATATTTACTTAACTTAACTGAGTTAAAAAAAAATCATTAATTTTAGATGGTGTAATTTGACCGCCTTAAGTAGGTATACGTTGCCACTTTATATATTTACTCAATATAAACGCATAGCTGACATAATTGGAAAATAAAATATAATAATTTGTGTTGTTCAGCTGCAAAGTTACCATATCTTACATTAATATTTTTCGAGTATAATGAAACAAAATATATAATCAATAATAAACTGCTAAAGAATTTAAAATAAAAGATATAAATATCGCTAACACATTTTTATGTTTATTTTCTAATATTATTGATTAATGGTAATTAATATTTATAATCAATACATTTATGACTGAAAATGTAAAATTAACTTAATTTAATCATAACTAATTAAGATAATTATTGAAAAGCTGGGTTGAAGTATATAAGTATATTTTATATATTTGAATGTGATAATACGTAATCGGTACATATGTGTTATATGAAATTACTACTTAATAAAAGAATCTCTTTAAGTTCTGAAAAATCATATTTTACAGTACACATTTCTTATATGAATAAATTTTATTTGCACATTAAAATAATTCATATGGTGTACCTACGAGTATTAACTACAATATTAGAAACATAAAATTATATATTATAAGATATACTGATATAGAACATATCAACAAGACAACAATTGTTAAATTATTGTGAAACTAAATAATTGCTATTCATTATTTATGTAACAGTCTTTGGTGGATTGAACATAACATCTAAATTTGTATTTCATCTGTAACAATTAATAGTACAAATTAATAACACTGGTTATTAGTTTTGTTTGCGTGGTTGTCTAAAAGTAGGTATGTAATTATATCACTCATGGAAATATGGAATCATCTATGGAAAAAACACTTGGTGCTGAGTGAATTTTAATAAATATGTAGGTAGATACCTCTATTAAGTACTAACCCACTTTTGTTTCCACTTTTATTAAAGCTCCAAGACCTGCCCCAAGCAATGATTCACGGATCTACCAGAAAATTATTTTGTAATTTTTTCACCTAAAGTTGTAATTAGGTTTGCGTAGAGGTCTGTATCGTTTTCGAGTCAACCCAATAAAAATTCCCCCTTGAGGATGGTTATCTGGTATCCATTTACCTTCACACAGCCGCCTGGATTTGGTGAGTAGTAACTTATGTTATCATTGTCTTAACCAGGGTTTTTTCAAAGGGGGTGTCTGCAAGTAACGTATTCAGTAGTTCCCCAAATTTCAGATGACTGCTATCTAATATTTATCAAAAAATGTATAAACATTTTGTTTTGATACAAATCACATATTATCATTTTGGTAGTTGTCAAAAGTTAAGGCATTTTACAAAAATACTATACATATTACAATATTAAATACAAATAATAATAATAATTTTAAATTACAAAATCTAACCATCTTTTTCTCTGAGTTAACTCTTTTATGATGTCATCTGTATCAACATTAATTTTCCGGTGAATATTCAATGCTGCTAATCCATTTAGTCTATTGTCTGCTTTTGAGTTTCTGAGGTATGTTTTGATTTTTTTGAAAATGACCTCTCAGCTTCACAAGATGTCGTTACGGGTAACATTAAAAGAACTGTCAGTATCTTATAAACTTTCGGATATAGATTTTAATTACAATTACTGATTACTTCAGTAACAGTAACCATTTTTAAGTTTCCAGCCGCAGTTTAAAAACTTAATGATGCCAAATTTTTACTTCAAATGAAATTTATTATAAATCTTCCAAATCGTTTGCATAAAATTCCACCAAATTTTTGATTAACTTTTCTTGTTTTTCAGTAAGAGGATCAATTGGAAAAAGCATTTGATATCCTTGAATAATTTCTTTATGTTTGATAAATCTTTCACTTAACTAACTTATAAAATAATAAGTTTATAAGTTTATATAAATTAAAAGGTATGATTAAAGAAACTTTAAATAATCTTGTGTATTATTACTGGGAGTATTCTGCCTATAAGTCTGTCTTTTTGTAATTCTAGGCATTTTTATCTTAAAACCTAAATAATTTCATTTTCTTTGAAGTTCATCAAAACACTTTGAAAATTCTTCGTCAGCATTATTCCTAACTGTATGTATTTGACGTACAACATTATCAACGTACTCGAGAGCTTGAATAAGATCTATATTAGGTTTTTGTAGAAATAGGTATGCATAAAAAGACTGTGTACTGAAATTATGAAATATATTTTTTAATACAATAGAACCAACATTAAATTTACATTGTTCTAGAGACAATAATAAAATATGAGCATTAGTTGATGTTTCGATGTCTGTCCAACTAATCATCTCTTTTAAACACGGATGTGCAGCCGGTAGAAGTTGCTCAAACACTTCTACCGAGTCGTGTATTTCAACAAAACTCGTCGAACACATCCGCTTTAGTTTTTCTTTACGAAAATGTTCTTGATTCAGTATTCCCTGACATGTTTTGAAAATTCTGCTTGCCTCTTTGGAGTATTTAAAAATACGAAAACAATTTCGATTGTGCCCATAGTATTTCGAATACCTTATAAACTACAAGCATAGGAAACAGCCAAATTCAAACGGTGGGAACTGCAATGGATTTAATTATAACTGTTTATATTCTTTTTTTATGCATGACTTCACACCATTGAATCATCTACTTATCGATGCAGCTCTGTCGTAACCCTGGCCTCTGAGATATTGCATATTAATTTTCCTATCGGTTAGTTCTTTAATAATTCTACTTGCAAATGCGGTTCCACTTAAGTCTGTGACAGGTACAAATTTTAAAAATTGCTCTTTTATTATTTTTGTTTAAGAATCAAAGTAAAGAACACAAAGCGAGAATTGCTCAATGTCGACCACATCTGCCGTTTCATCTGCTATTACCGAAAAGCATTTACTATTATTGACTTCATTAAAAAAAATATAAAATTTAATTTTCAAATATTACAGATTTGTGGAAAATTTGAAAAACTGGCACCGGGACCCTTAACATCATAAATGTCCAAATTCCACATTTATTTTATAAGTTATAAGTTATAACACATTTCTAAATTAACAGTTCAAGGAGGGTGTCCAGACATCCACAACACCCCCCCCCCCTTCTTTTTCGGGCCACTTTGTTATATTACTTACCCACATATACGTGCTCGCACCAGCCACCGAAAACAAAAGTCGTTTGTGCCAAATGCCAAAACAGGAAAAGCCCCGCACTTTTGTGGGAAACCTTCAGGGGCAAAGCAGTAAAGTAGTGGATGTCCACCAACACTACATACTGAAAGTCAACCTCCAACTTTGATTTTTGGCTAAGTATAAAAGTCAATGACCCCGATCCCTCATCAAGGGTTTCTGTTTTATGGCACCTACAAGCCCCCCATAAGCTGGGGGTCCAAAATCCCTTCCAAGGAAAGGAATTTTGGAAACCACCAATTTTTGGTCAGAGCATCAGAAACCCCCTAAGAACCTTACCTACCAAATGACAATGGATTTGGAGGGTCTGAGAAAAGGGTCATCCCCCCTTTTTGGACTTGGTAGCAAAACCTACGGGGTGAACTGCCCTCCCGCCAAGCCCCAGCCCTATGCCAAGCGTCGGCAACGGCGTTAACATGGAACTAGAAGCTAACACAAATTAGGAGACACAGTGGAAGGCAGTAATTATTATGCCACCGTTGGAGACAACAGCTCGACCCTCGACGATTACTCCAGTCCGATTACTCAAATTACAAAGGGAAGAAAATTGCAACCTTGACGTCACCTTTAGAGATGGACCCTGCTATCTGCGAGCTTGAAGAAGGTCTTCAATGAAAATGGCGATTCACGAAGTAAGGACATCCATTGTCAAGAATGAGTCTCCCGGAACACTCCGCATTCTTGAGGATGCGGCAAAAGTCTCCTCTGGCCTTATCAGCAAAAAGTAAAAGCTGCTCTCCCCATTATCGTTGCCAAGAATGAAAAAAATCCAAGCCACGGAAAGTGGGAGGGGTGGATGCTCTCCTCCTATTACAGATGGACCCACTAAAACCCCAATCATGTCTATGAAGCGACCAATCATCCTCAATAAACCTGCAGAGGGAATATCGCATTCCGTTAACGTCTGCTCAGTGCATTCGTGTAGCCTCTTCATGCAGGACATATGTGAAAAAGCACAGGACGAGTGGTTATTGATGAAGTTGACAAGCGACACTAAATCATCGTCAGCTGCCAAGACCATCGCTTCGGCCATTTCTAGCAAGCTGGGTGACTCTGTTGAAAAAATGTTCCAACTAGGAATGCCAAGATCCAGTTAGAGGTCAAAATCATTGACCTAGACGTTGTTCCTACAACAGCTGAAGTGCTAGAAAAGGTATCCGGCCAAAATAGCGAAACAATTACCACGAATGTAAAAACAGCGAATTGATAATAGCGTAAATAAAAATAGAGAATTGTAAAAAAGAGTGAAAATATATAAAAGCGAAGAGAGAAACATCTGCCTGTCGGGTTGCTTATATGACACAGTGTAAAAATCAAACATATTTGTTACAATAAAAATGAATAAAAATAGTTTATAAATGAGATTAATAAATTAAAAAAAGTAAAGTATACAATAAAATATTTAAGAAAACGTGTATATGGTTATTGAGATTTATCGGTTAATTGTTCCACATGGTTCGGTCCTCGTGTCAATTCTGGGTAATGCCTATGATGACTTATTGTCTGCAGGAATACATATGGTTGGGTTTTCTGATGTTCAGGTCGTGGTTAGTGTAGCGAGAAAAGACCTATACTAGAGGACTTAATGAACCCCGTGTTGAAACTAATTGATAGATGGACGGCGAGCAGAGGTTTCCAACTCGCCCATCAAAAGAGTGAAGCTGAAAGCCCCCAAAGCTTTTTTATTGGGGGCCAGGACATCAGCTTGGCAAAGCACTTGAGATACCTGGGCGTTATTTTGACAGCAGACTGACGTTCATGAGAAGTGTTGAAACCGTTGCGAAAAGGGCCACCAACTCGGCAGTAGCTCTTTCGGTTCTATGCCTAACATTGGAGGTCCATGGTAATGGAAGCGCAAGCATATCAGCTCGATTGTGGACAGCCAATTGTTGTACGTAGCACCGTTGCGGGTGCCTACCACTGCCTAGGCTGCGAGGAACCGGACCTTCCTCATCATACCACAGAGGTATTTATTAATAAACTTAACTACCTAAAATAAAAAGAATAACTATTATCTGTAATCATTAACAGATTAGCAGGACAATAATTTAAGATATAGTTTTTGTCTGAATGAACAAGATAAAAAAGATCAGGATTTCTGGTGTTAAAGGTATTAATTTTAAAATTAATTAAATTAAGTAAATCAGGACAATCAATCAATCCAGAAATCAATTTATAGAGAAATTTCGAGAGTATCTGTAATCGTCTAGTCTTAAGCGGAATAAGATTTAAATAATTAAAAATATTATCATAATATGAACCATGCGGTGGGTGGTCTATATTTGTTGCATTTAAAAGACATAAATCGCAAAAAATTGTTTTGTACAGATTCAATATTATCATTTTTTTAGACGTATTTTTTATCCAAATTCGTGGATAATATTCAAGATTCGAACAAACTAAAGATTAATAAAGAATTTTTACAGCAAAGGGATCACCATATCTTTACATGACCCTTTGATAAAAATAAGAATACGCATTGCTTTGTTCTGAATTAATTCAGAGTGATAAGAAAAGTTCAGTTTAGAATCAAATATTATCCCAAGATCTTTGAAATTAGAGAAAAGTTCAAGATTAGAATTTAAATTGAATAGTTAAAAATAATTGGGTTCTTGATTAAAATAAAACATATAATCTTACATTTTTAAATATTTAAAAAGAGATGATTTCTTTCACACCAATTTTGTAAGTTGTTTAAATCGGTTTGTAAATCAGTAGCATCTTGATTATTTTTTATTATTATTTATAGTTTGGTATCATCAGCAAAAAAAAAAAATCAGAGTTTTTAATAACATTAGGTAAATCAGTTATGAAAATATTAAAAAGGAGAGTTGACAAGTGGTCACCTTCGGGAAAACCAGACGGAACTCTAAATTTAGGAGATTAAAAATTTAGGTATTTAACTATTTGAAAACGGTCAGATAGAAAGGAGCGAAACCAGGAAAGCAAAGGATCAGACAATCCAAAATACTGTAATTTACCGAACAATATTTCAAGATTAACACTATAAAATGCTTTAGAGAAATCTGTATAAACAATATCTGTTTGTAAATTAGCATCAAATGAATAAAGTATTAAATTTTTTACTTAAGATGAATTAGTGTATGATGAACGTTTCGATATAAAACCATTTTGATTTTCAAAAATGTATGGAGAACAGTAGGTTGTTACCTAATTTAAATTGAATTAAATTAGAAAATCGTTTAGAGATAGGTCGATAATTTGGAATTGATGATTGTCCACTTTCTTAAAGACGGGAAACAAAAGAAGTTTTCCAGAATTCAGGAAAAATACCTTTATTAAGAGAGGTATTGAAAATATTAATTAAATTCGGTGTTAAAACGAATCTACAATTGTAAAGAAAAATAGGTGGAGTGCCATCACGTCCATTACTTGATATAAGAGGTGGCTAGAGTCTAGAAATTACATTAAATACATCTATCTGAGTGAATGTTAATTTATTAATAACTTTTCCTCTCCGTTAAAATTAATCATATATTTTCGAAAATGTATCATTTTATATTTTCAGTATTTATAAGTCTATATTTTTTAAATAAATAAAAAAAAATTGATAACAATTATTGGCCCGATGAGCCTTGCAACTTATTAAATATTATATACCTAATAATATTTAACATTTTGTCCAATGTATCTAACTCACAAGGGAAATGTAATTTATGTTCCAATTGATATTTTTTTTTGATAGTTAATTTTGTTACCTAATTTATAATATGTGAGAGTTAAAAAAAAACTATTTATCTGAAATGAATCCCTGATTCCTAAGAGAAATATAATATTATGTATGGTCAGAGCCCTACTTATGAATTTTGGGGGGCCAGGTCTAATTTATTGGTGGACCCCTTAACTTGAATTATAAACTATTTTTTTTTTTTGTATATCGCTTTTAGACTGAGTGAAACGATGAATGTATTAATTTTGCAATGTTGTGTGTAAAACAGTAAAACAGCTTCGATTTTCTTCAACAGTATCTTTTTCAATGGGAAAGTGAATCTAGTTGGTGCCAGGGCCTAAAATTGTGTGCAGTAGCACACACTATGTGCAGTAGCCAATATTAAATGTGCAGTAGGTAGCAAATTTAAAAGTGTGCAGTACTCATTTTTGGTTTTATACATTTTTATTTGATTAATATTCAATATTGATTATTGAAAATTGGTAATTAGCATAATATTGTATTCGTTTAAAATCCTTACTAAAAATAATACCTACTACATCATATTCTGGGCGGCTTATAATATAATAATTATATTAACCTATAGGTATATAGGTAGGTATCAAGGAATTATATAGAATATTGTTTTAGATTGTATTTATTATAACTAATTATTAATGAATAACAAAAACAATTATGCAATGAAGTTATATGTGGCATGTGGCATGTGCACTACTAGGTGCATTATATTAAAATATTTTGGTGTGGAATAAGGTGTGCAGTAGCAAAATATCTTAATTGTAGGCCCTGGTTGGTGCATTCGGGAGGTCAAGTTTTAAATTTCCTAATAGTTTTCAAAAGCGACGGAAAAAACAACATAAAAATTAAGGAAAAACGGGAATTTTTACGTAAAATCGTTTTTCCACAAAATCGATTTTCATTGTTGGTTTAACTCTAAAACAAATGAACCTATATACATGAAATTTTCACTGGTAGCTTATATTTGTATTTTTTATACACGATAAAATTTTCAAAACATTTTGATTTGTTTTGAACTGTTTAGGAATATTTATAGTTTACAATTTTATTAGGCTTTTTTTTATTAAGGTCAATAAAACCTAATAGTTTGGTAAAAAAGCTTGAAAATTTAAGACAAGCGATAAAATCTTCAACGCTCTGGAGAAAAAAGAATTCTGCCCCACTGTGTTTCTGGACGTCTCGCAGCCTCTGATCGGGTCTGGCATGAACCAGACTTCAAACTAAAAAAGTTTCTTCCAGCCCCATATTTCTTATTAATAAAATCATACCTATCTGACCGTTCCTTTAAGGTTCGTATTAAAAATAGTTATTCATCCAGCTATCGTATTTTAGCAGGTGTCCCACAACGTAGCGATATCGCTTCTTTTCTTTTTTCTGTGTTCACCCACGACATCTCAAAAACATCCTTCACTTTCCTTGGTACATATCACTCGAATTTCAGCGTAACATCAGGGTTCCTCAACTGTTTGTCGGATGATCCAAAGACACCTAAATATGATCAACTTATGGACAAAACGGTGGAAAATAAAAATCAATGAAAACAAGTCTACTCATGTAACTTTTACATTGCGCAATTCTGATTGCCCACCTGTCACGTTTAATAACAAAGTAACACCTTGGCGCTTTTGAAAAGTACTGGGAATTTTAAATTTTGACCTCCCCAATGCATCAACGATATTCACTTTCCAATCGAACAAGATACTGAAGTCAAAAATCGAAGCATTATATTATACAATGTATTGATTTTACAATGATGTGTGTTTTTATATTTTTATTTTTGTGTCTGTGTACACAATAAGTAGTCCAAATAATGCTTCAATTTTCGACATCAGTATCTTGTTCGATTGGAAAGTGAATATCGTTGGTGCATTGGGGAGGTCAAAATTTAAAATTCCCAGTACTTTTCAAAAGCGCCAAGAAAAACAAAAGAAAAATTAAGGAAAACCGGGAATTTTTACGCAAAACCGATTTTTCAGAAAATTGAATTTGGTTTTTGGTGTAACTTTAAAACAAATGACCGTAGATACATGAAATTTTCACTGGTTGTTTATATTTGCATTTTCTATACACGATAACATTTTCAAAATATTTTGATTTATTTTGAACTGTTTAGGGACATTTTCATTTTTCATTTTTTTTAGTTTTTTTTCTAGAAATATCAATAAAATTTTATTTGTTTTTTTCGAAAGCTTGAAAATTTAATAGAAGGCTCCAAGTATATTGTTTCAAAGGCAGATGAAAAATATTAAAAATCCTTAGTCACAGTTTTTTATTATAAGCATTTAAAGTTCAAAAATTGACAAAATATGACCGTGCCTGGATGTCAGAGCTAGGAGGGGACAAACGCTGCCGCTAGAAACGACAGCAGCACATGACGGCCGCAATTAAATTTTTTTCTGTAAAACATGCCAATTTTGTTCCAATAATACGGCTTACTGAATGGTTTTAGAGCAAAATACCTTAATTAAAAGTTGTAGAGGAGAGTTATATCGGGTGACGTATAAGACTCGATTTTTGATATTTCTTTCTCAAAATCGATAAAATCGTTTTGCGTTTTCACTTTTTTACATGTGAATAATTGGTATAAAAAATTAAAATATCAAAAATCGAGTCTTATACATCGCCCGATATAACTCTCCTCTACAACTTTTAATTAAGGTATTTTGCTCTAAATCCATTCAGTAAGCCGTATTATTGGAACAAAATTGGCATCTTTTTGTACGGTATTTTTTCCCGTGTGGCGTCCTCTTAAACTTAGAAGTTAAGTAGGATTCAGTGGCGGCGTTACTAATTTAGTACATATGAGTATGCAACCTTTGCCACAGTACGTTTTGGATTGTTGAGTTTCCACATAAATGCAGCTAAATGGCGGCAGTCTCGGTTTGGAGACTCAGTTTGACGGTCTTGAAAAATGCATAATATCATAGGCCGATGTTCAACCTGTATATCTTAAATCGTGTATTGGAGTTCACAGCGCCCTCTGTATAAGACACGGACTAAGATACAAATCGTGTAGCTAAATAAAACCACCGGTAGCTCTGAAAACTTCGAAAACAGTGTTCTTATCAGCTAAGTGACATCTTTTCATGGCCATCCCCCGATCCCCGCCGACCATGTCGTTTCCAGTACATTATATCTTAGTCCGTGGTAAAAACTGTAACCGGTTTACTGGTGGATAACGTGTTATCAGGTTATGGAACATAGATAATTACTTCATAACCTTCAGCCTTGGGATTTTAGAGATGTCGTAGTCCCGCACCGTTAGGTCCAAAGTGGACGTCTCAATTTCAGTAGATCCTACTCGATATGATATTTTAAGCAAGCTTGGGATACACTGCAACAGTTGTCCATACAGCTGATCGAGTGTCATTACTATTGTGATAAAATAACAAGGTATGATGACAACGAACTGAAATATCGTCAGGGCTTGCACATTACATTGTATCCAGTTCGCCTCATAGTATGTGTGTATATATATATATACATATATATATATATATAGTATATGTATATATACATATATATATATATATATATAGTATATATTTTATAATATTAATAATGATTTCTATATTGTTCGATGGTGCTGCCTACCCCACTATCGAAATACCCACCACCCAGAGCGTTAGGATCAAGTCACATTTATCGTGACTTGTGGAATGCAGTACGCATATAGACTGTATTATAGTCATTAGTCGCGTTTGTTTCTCGTACCTAAATATTCGAGTTTTTCTGAAAATTCTTCAATGACCGATCCATTGTTATATCTGAGTCGGTAACGTGTGTTACCTACGTTAAGATTTATGGTTTTGATTTCTTAATTTTTCTACCATGATACGGTAGGCATGTTTTAGCGATTAAATAATATTATGTATTTTTCAACAAGAAAAAAAATCATTTTGATTAATCAAATATTATACCATCAACATAATGGTATAAATAAGTCACTTGTTTTCTAATATAATTGTGTGACATTGTTGACTGTACCAATGATTGTAGATTTGTAGTACTTTGTACTCAGTATCCTAATATTTTGATTTACAATATTACTAATATCCATGTTCATAGTTTTTGTAATTATTTTCAGGTTATAAATTAGGATATAGTTAAGTACTTATTTACTCGTACTTTGGTGGTTGCTAAGCCTTAGAGTTTAAATATTTAAAACGAAGGACATCATGAGTTTTCATAATTTGTTGAGGGTTCCTCTCATTTTTATTATGGACGAACTCTTTAAAAGTAGTTTTGGACTTCCAGAATTGGCCGATATAATGTTTCCTGTTAATAGTACACTAAATCAAATTGAAATTGAGCAGTCCACACAATACTATGCAGCCTTCATCAAAATAATAGTATCATGTCTAAGTAAGTTCAATAAATTATCAATGAAAAATAACATTACAACTGTATCAGTTAATTTAATTTAATTTTTAATTTTTCTAGTGTTTTGTTCATCATTGTATTTATTGACTCTACCTGCCATGTGCTTGATTCCAGTGTACCTTTATGTAGTTTCTTTTTATGTTGTACTTGTTTCTTACTGGGAAAACATGGAAACACTATTATTTTTATCAGGAAAATACAAAAACTTTAAAATAGAAACTACAAATGAACTCATAACATGGGATCTATATGAATATATGATTATTTTCATACAATTATACCCTCGATTATACAAGTTATTCCACAGTATAATACTACAGTTTTGTCTATCACTAGCATTTTACATTTTACAATTTTTTACTACAGGTCATTCAATTCATAAAGTAAATATCAAATTTAATTAACTTTAATCATGAATTAAAAATAATAGGAATATTTCATTTTTCAGGTTTTCAGGTATAGCTTTATTATTCCTACTTTAATTGCATCAATTCCCAATACAAGTAGGATTTTAAATACAGTAATCATCCTATCAACATCGTTGCAATTGTTTATTTTGCTGAGAACATTATGGCTAAATATATTTAATATAACAAATTTAATTCGGAGTGGATATAACCGTACACAAGAGTTCCTCAAGTAAGAACATTCTGTAAATTGTTATTAGTTATATTCCAAAAGGGTGGTCACTGGACATAAATGCACTAAAAAAGTTCTTTATTTTGTTTAATTATGTCCTTAAGAAGATTAGAAATATGCTTTATAATATACAATAAAAAACATAATTATGTGCTTATAAAATATAAATTTATATGCTAAAACAGTAGTGACCAACCTTATTTAATCTAGGGCTATTTAAAAAAAAAATCTTGGTTGAATTCAAACTTTCTTTTAATTGAATGTTACATTTAATTTTCGGTACATATTAATATATTTACACTAATAAATTAATTTATTTACTAGGTATATATTGATTGTTATAAAATGAAATATAAATATTACGTATATTGCTAAATTAATCCCCTAATATTGCTAAATCTAAAAGCCATTCAACATCATTGAGTTGAGGACATGGCTTGTATTTTTCCGTTAAAAAATTTGTAACGTAAATAAATTGATAAATAATGGATAGTAAGTATTAAGTCTTTGTGTAAAACGATAAATACAATGTTATTTATATTTAGACAATGTACAACGATCAGGCTGCGACGTAAGGTCATGTCTGATTAACAAAGTAATTGACTAAAAGAAATAGGAAATATTAATTTATATTGAATTTTACAAACTTTACATTTTATGAAAATATTAATTTAACTGTTTTTCAATTTCAATTACTTTGGCGGGCCGGTTAATAAATGCACTAAAATATCAATTTAACCAGGTACAAATAATTTAAATAAAAAATAGGTATATCAAAAGTGTTTATTATAGAAATAATTTATGTACAGTTTTAAGTTATTCAAAAGCTCAAACATAATATTAACATTTTTAAAATGTTTTATGTACTTCATCGGACTTTTGATTTCAATATTAAAACTTAAATAATCATAAATATTCTCTTCTTTTATTGTTTAATGTAATATGCTACAAAATCAAAATTTCAAAACTTGAACTTAAATTATAAAAATATGCTTTGATAGGAAAATATTCTAAATATGCAACATAAAAATGTTACCTTTGTTGCTTAAGGTTACATAATAAATTTCTATCCTACTCTGCAACTTAAATTGTTAAAGAAAATATCGCTAATATGTAAACATCCGCCATTTAATCATTACGCCAACCAATAAGCATAATTTTAATGTTTTATTTAGACTATGTGTACCTTCTATTTGATACATTATGTACCTTGTTTCAGTGATCATGGAATATTGACCCTGATTGAAGGTGAATGGTATCGTCTAAAAATTCCTAGTGTTCTTCAAATGTTTTGGGCAATACGAGTACTGATACAAATTATATACCTGTCAACTAATACAGAAATAAAAAATTTAACAGTGTTTGAAACTGTGAAGTATTTGTTAATTAAAGGATGTAACACATGTACAGCAGTTTTAGGAATGACTAGCTTTATTTCCTACTTTTATGATAGAATAGGAGCATTTTTCCAATGGGTAAAATTACCAAGGCACTGGTAATGAAATAAAAATTATAGATTTTTTTATCAATTTATTTATTTAGATCCTCCTGATTGATGAAGCGGATGTATTACATGATTGTGGTGTACTTACTGCATTATTTTTTATTTTACAAGCTATGCAATCTGGACTAACAGGCTTGGATCCAGAAAACCGCTTGATAAAAGTATATCAACATGTTTATCAAAATTCTGTTATCCTACAGGATTACATCTATAACATGGTTGATCAATCATTAATACAATTGAGTGGTTCTCACAATCGTTCACTCAATAGGTAGTATATTTATTATTACCAAGAATGTTTTAAAATTTATTTTGTTAAATTGTTTATAGGCATTCAAGAGCTCTTTTAGTTTGCGGATGTCTTATAGTGATGGCAGTATCTTCTTTAAACTTTGCGTTGTCCCACCATTCAGTTAGTCATTGGTTACTAATAGTTTCTGTTTCGAATATTTTATCTATTATAAAAGTATTGGAGTCGTTAACTGTCTATTCATTATTATTAATTGATTCCAATAGCTCAACATATTGGGAGAATATAGATGATTATGTATACTATATCAAATCATTTGGAAGTATAGTAAGAAAAGTCTATAATTATTATAACAACTCTTAAAATGTATTTTAGTTATATATTATAGCTAACATTTTTGTTTTAGTTGGAATTCTGTTTATTCATTTTCGTTTCTCTGAATGATGTTTACAATTGGGTTTTTGTATCTGGTGGTATAATCCGTGCTTTTATGTTCTGTGCCCAAACATATTCCAAATTGTGTTTAGCCATGGTTGAATGGGAAATATTCATTAAACGCCGTATGGCTGTGCAAAAAATTGAATCATTACCAGATGCAACTAGTGTTCAATTGTCTGAATTTGATGATGTTTGTGCCATATGTTATCAACAAATGAGATCAGCAAAAATAACTAATTGCAATCATTATTTCCACAGTGGATGTCTGCTTAAATGGAGCTATTTACAGGTAAATAAATGTTAAATATTTTTTAACTAAAACTAATTTGTTAATAAATTGTAAAGTAAGTCTACCTTAGATTATTGTCTGAATGTAAGAAAACCCTAATATGACTTAACAAATAAAATGACTGTCAATCTGGGTGTCTTGAAACGATTTTGACATTTTTTATCTATATTCTGAGCTGAAAAAAATTGCAGAGGTCTCAAGCAGAGGAACAGCTTGATAATTTTCTAAATAAATTAAAAAATGTTAAGCCCAAAAACTGATTGGTAAAAAAAAAACAAAAAATCTGTTGTTTCAAGTCACTTGACATTTTGGGTGACTTTAAACACTTATTTTAAACCAGCTTCATTTTCAATTAAAATACGTAAGTGGCTTGAAACAATATAATATTCATTTTAAAAAATATCAAAAGAAGATAAAAAAAAGCCAACATTTTAATAAAAGATTATTATTATTTTTTTTTTGTTTTTTACATAAAATTGACTGATTGATAAGAATATTTTGAATCGCAAACAAACAAAGAACATTTTAATCCAAGAATGGTTCACTTATTACTAAGTCTTGGTAATATAATATGTTGTTATAACATTGATATGATTAATAAAAATGGAACTGTTTCAAGTCATATCGAAGTTTCAAGTCACCTAGATTTACGGTATATTCAAACAGAGAATATTAATAATTAATTTTTTATACTGACACTCAGAATTTTTCAAAACATTTTTCTCAAGTACTTTTAGTATTTGAATACTTTAACTTTGGCAGGCCAATTTACGCTTTCATATATACACTGGGGGCTGCCAAAAAAAAAAAATCTCTTACCACGAGAATTTGTATTTGATGTGGCTGCTTTACAAACACGATACCTACATACGTAGCGAGCTTAATTTAATTATAATTTTCGATGTTACACAGGGGGCAACAAAAAAAAAGGCTTCGATTGCTGCGGGTTGGACCAACCTGCTTTAACTCAAGTACTTCTAAGATTGCCTAAGCTCTAGATTACCTAAGCTTTATTGGCAAAGCTCTAGTCTATCAATATAAATTTGATTCATTTACCTTGCAATTTATTGTTATCTTACTTAAATTTTACTAATTAATTATTAATATTAACTATATATTAATATATAAATTAATACTATATTAATTTTAAATTTTACTAATTAATTGTTATTCTATTTTGTGGCTTAGGATGTTTGCCCGTTGTGTCATAGTATTTATAACAAGGCAGAAATGTAAAAATGTACCCAGACTCGGAATACAAAATCTACTTACAAGATCATCAAAATATTATTTATGGTGATACTTTATTCTTAGTTATTTTTGACTGATTAGATTTTCCATAACAACTAAATTATATTATTAAAAAAATGTTATTTTGTATTTTTCGCATGTTTATTGTATTACTATGTTGCTCAAAGTTTTATATAATTATCAATAATAAACATTTGTTCAATATTTAACATTTTGTGAATTTAAAATTAAAAATAATAGTTAAAGTGCTTTATAATGACTCATTTCACCAATCAGAATAAAAAATAATATAGTATGGTAAGGGAGTAAAACAACGCATTTATCTATTCTGAACATTTCAATGAATGTTTGGTTTGAAATGAATGGTTTTACATTTTACAATGACGTGTATGTGTGTGTTTAGACTTGAAAATGTAATACAAGATTTTTTATAAGTTTTATTTACTGGCATAAAAAAAAATTTAGCTTAAAGCCACATTAATTTGTAGTCTTAATGTTAACCTACCCTTAAACATTTTTTGTTATTTTTTTTTTATAAAACGCATTAATATTAGAAACTTCAAACACTCCACTATTACTATTATTACTTAAATTATCAGTTTCTATACTAAATGAAATAATTTTAAAGTATTTGTATTGGTTTTCAGATATTTATATTTTATACCACAAACCTATTCTACGGTGCCTGTACTTGTAAATTAATAAAAATAATATTTGATGGGATTTAATAATTATGACATAGGTAATATAATATATAAGTATAATATGTAAATATTTTATTGTATGTGATTATATGTGATATTTTAATGAAAAATGTGTAGAACCCACCGAGTTACAAAAAGAAATTCAGAATAGTAGTAATATAGTGGTGATTCTTTTCCTCATTATTTCAAAAAGTATTAGTGTTTTTGAAAAAAAATGACATGGTTTCTAGTCAACAGCATTTTTAAAAAATATCTATATTTTCAAATATTTTTACCCTTATGATTTCTTAAGTTTTACATTTTTGAATGATAAAATACAGTTTTTAGTTTATCTTGATCAGAATATTGTTGTGGATATTTCAATACATAAAAATTGAATTTAGGACAATTATTTCAATAGAGTGTTATAAGTATTTAATCTTTTTGATGAGCTAAGTGGTTAAAATAACGAGTTGAGTGGTGCTTGATAAAAGAATCATTCTGTCTAGTATTAATATATAGTGTAATTAAAAATAGGTAGGTATTCTTAGAAATAGAAGCTGACACAAAAACGGTGGATACATTCAGAACCGTTTTTTGTACGCAATTATTCATCAATGAGTTAAAATTATATTGTAATACATCAATTACAATGACCTATTCAATAATGAGGTACACTTAAAACCACAATATAAATGTAGAGACTTCTTTTAAACTAGTCCGCACCTAATGAACTTCCCACCCCCCACGGCTACATCCCTAATTGTATGATTACTGTATGATTATTATCATTGCTAAATACATGTAGTCATGAATATTATTATATTTTATTGTTTTGTCTATGTCTTTATATGATAGAGATTTAAGTGACTATCATGTTTTTACTATGTTAAATTTGTATATTCTAGTTAGTAGTTACTGTATTACTAATAAATACTCTAGTCTATAGTTCTAATAATTTAAATTAATTCATATGCGTTAAAATTATATTTTTTATTTCACATTCACAATGGATAGGTATGTATCATAGACCTATTAATAGGTGGACTACGCATCCTTACCCCCTGCTAACACATCGTTGCACGGATACATCGATTGCTTGAAACTTGCTCACGAGATCGGCGTTGGATGGGACGAGGTGCGCCATGGCCGCGAAATCGGGCAATCTGGAGTATTTAAGGTGGTGACGTGAAGCTGCGCTGCCGAGAATGCTCACAAGGACTAATAAACTATTCAATTAAACAATAAATTTATTTTTTTTTTGGTCTGTCATCACCTTTAAGACAGTAAATGTGCTTGGATTTTCTTCAACAGTATCTTTTGTGATATTAAAGTGAATCTAGTTGGTACATTGGGGGGTCAAAATTTCCCAGTAGTTTTCAAAAGCGCCGTGAAAAACGGTCAATTTTAAACAAAATAGATTTTACGCAAAATCGATTTCTGTTTTTGGTGTACCTAACTTTAAAATAAATGACCGTAGATAAGTGAAATTTACACTAGTTGTTTACATTTGCATTTTCTATACACGATAACATTTTCAAAACATTTTGATTTATTTTGAACTGTTTTGGGACATTTTCAGTTTCCAATTTTTTTAGTTTTTTTTTTTATGAATATCATTAAAAATTTATAAGTTGGTTTAAAAAGCTTGAAAATTTAATAGAGGGCTTCTAGTATATTCTTTCAAAGGCAGATGAAAAATATTAAAAAGGTGGGTAAGTGGATGTCGCTCTGCTGTACAGCAGGTTACAAGTGGGTCACTGTATAATTGATGCTATTAAATTTGAATTCAATGATACAATATCATTGTATAAGAAAAACGATTCTGAGCGAAGACGGTATGTCAGTCTAGGTTTAAGACAAATTATATACATATCTATGGTATTAAAAAAAAATTGACCTATAATAAATTCCAAATTAATCATATCACATTATCACAATATCCATTAGGTACTTATAACACGTTATACACCAACAACAAACCCTGATACTATCATATATATATTACACTTTAGAAGTTTCAAGTAGGTAGTAGGTACCAACGAATAATATTATATAATCACAACAAAATAACTAGGTTTTTTAATATGTAATTTCGTCCAAATTTGAACATAAAATGACTATAAAAATAAACTGTGATTGTATATTTTTTAGATTTTTCGGTAAGAGAATTAACTACTTACGTGGAATCTTGTTTTAAATTTTCAATCCTTAGCTATAAAAACTGAACATTTTATAATTTATTAATTACGATGATTAATAAATTTCGAGATTTTGAAAAATTCTGTCAAAATTCGATGTTTAAATGCTTATAAAAAAAAATTGTGCCTATGTATTTTTAATATATTTCAACTGATATTGTAACAATATATCAGGAGCCTTGTATTAAATTTTTACACTTTTTGGCCCAACAGATAAAACTTAATTAATATTTATAGAAAAAAAAACTAAAAAAATTGAAAACTGAAAATGTCCGTAAACGGCTCAAAAGAGTCAAAATATTTTCAAAATTGTATGGTGTATAGGAAATGCTAATATAACATTCAGTGAAATTTTCATGTTTCTACAGTAATTCGTTTTTTAATTACAACAAAAAAAGGAAATTGCCACATGAGAATCGAGTGAATATCCATTGTTGTAAAAGTTGAATTTCAAACGCTCTAAAATTTAATTTGACTGGCGGTAGAAAATTTTTTTTTTGATAAGGTAGCAATCTTATGAGTAATCTTGTTAGATTTCAATCTTAGTTTAATCAGAAAAATTTTTACGACTAACCAAATAATTTATTTCGTGATGTTTCCATTTTGTCATTTTGAATTTAATGCTTATAAAAAAAATTGATAGGTTTTATATTTTCACGCTTTGAAACATATTAGGAGCCTTTTTAATTTTCACGCTGCGCAACCAACAAATAAAATTGTATTGATATTTTAGAAAAAAAACTAAAAAAAAATGGAAAATGAAAATGTCCCTAAACAGTTCAAAATAAATCAAAATATTTTGAAAATGTTATCGTGTATAGAAAATGCAAATATAAACAACCAGTGAAAATTTCATGTATACGTTCATTTGTTTTAGAGTTACACCAATAACCAAATCGATTTTTTGGAAAATCAATTTTGCGTAAAAATTCCCGTTTTTCCTTAATTTTTATGTTGTTTTTCCCGGCGCTTGTGAAAACTACTGGGAAATTTAAATTTTGACCTCCCCAATGCACCAACGATTTTCACTTTCCAATCGAACAAGATACTGAAGTCGAAAATCGAAGCATTATTTCGACTACTTATCGTGTACACAGACACAAAAAAATAAAAAAATAAAAAAATAAATATAAAAACACACATCATTGTAAAATCAATACATTCATCGTTTCACTCAGAATCTAAAATCCTTAGTCACAGTTTTTTTTTATAAGCATTTAAAGTTCAAAAATTAACAAAATATGGAAAAATCACGAAAATTAGCAAATTATTTTGAGTTAAGAATTCGTAAACATTTTCCTTTTTAAATCTAAGATTTTAAAATGTGATACAAGATTCCTTATAAAATTATCTACCTTTATCAAGAAATAAATGTCTATATGAAAGTCAAATTAAATTTTTATGAGCGTTTGAAATTCAAATTTTTACAATATTGGATATTCACTCGATTTCTCATGAAGCGATTTCCTTATGTTGTTATAATTCAAAAACGAATAACTGTAGATACATGAAAATTTTACTGATTGTTTATATTTTTTATAATGTTTACATTTCCTATACGGCTGTACATCATACAATTTTGAAAATATTTTGACTCTTTTTGAGCTGTTTACGGACATTTTCAGTTTTCAATTATTTTAGTTTTTTTCTATAAATATCAATAAAGTTTTATCAGTTGGGCCGAAAAGTGTAAAATTTTAATACAAGGCTCCTGATATATTGTTACAGTATCAGTTGAAAAATATTAAAAATACATAGGCACAATTTTTTTTTATAAGTATTTAAAGATCAAATTTTGACAACATTTATCAAATTTAAAATTGAATAATTATTTTGTAGTTAAAAATGTATAAAATGTTCAACTTTTATATCGAAGGATTGAAAATTTAAAACAAGATTCCACGTTAGTAGTTCGTTCTGTTACTAAAAAATCTAAAAAATACTAAGCACATTTTATTTTTATAGTCATTTTAAGTTCAAATTTGGATGAAATTACATAATAAAAAGGTGCTCTGCTGGACAGTAGGTTACAAATGGGTCACTGTATAATGGATAGTATTAAATTTGAATTGTATAAGAATTGTATAAGAAAAACGATTCT